ACTGAAAGAATTTATTCCCTGAAGGATATACTTATGAGCACTTACTGGGGAGATGTTTAAAGCTGCAGGTTGTGTAGACAATGACTTTGTTATTTTCTCCAGGGACATGACAAGGAACACTTTCAGTTCAAATGCAGTGAAAGGCAGAGTCACCTGCAATACTTGAGTATTTTACCACAAAATGCAAAAGTAAAAATCACGTTGCTCAAATCCATATGCTTTCTTTCTTTTCTTTTATTATGGGTACTGGGGATTAAAATCAGAGGCACTTGACCATGGAGCCCCATCCCCAGCTCTATTTTGTATTTTATTTAGAGAAAGGGCTCACTGAGTTGCTTAGGGTCTCCCATTTGCTGAGGCTGGCTTTGAACTTGAGATCTTCCTCCTCAGCCTCCCAAGCTGCATGGATTACAGGTGTGCACCGCCACACCCTGCTCCATATGCTTTCAAAGAGGTCTTTTGCTTTGGATTCAGTAAATTTAATGTGTGCGCTAATGTCATGTAGCTGCACCCCTTCTGTTCCCACAGCCCCCCGCAATGACCTCTATCCATCATGCACAGAGACATAGTTGCGGGGGGAACTAGTCACAGTGTTTCACAGAAGGACCACCCTGTAAAATATACCCCAAATCACTTGCAGGAAAAAAACTGAGCTTGGTCAATTCCCTTCTTGCAAGCGATAGTCATGTGTGTTCCCAAAGTACTTGGATCTCTTTGGGCTCAACACCCATAATGCTGACCTTGCTGCCTCACCAAAAAATCAAAACAAAACAAACATCACCTGGAGGAATTTAAAAGGTTCTTCCTTTCAGGATTAATGCAGATCATCAAAGGTGGTCTCAGTTTGCCTACCCGCAGGGAAAAAAAAAAAAAAACCCTGACAGCTATAATGAAGCCTCATTCAGCACACTCATTTTACTGTGGCTATTTATGGCAGGCAAAGGATTTGTCCACGAAAGGGCTTTAGAAATACTTTCAATTGTTTGGCTGAGCCAGGGACCATTTCTAGATGCCATCTTTAACAAAAGAGATTCTCAGGGAAGTGAGCAGTGTCCATAATTACCATGTCAGTGACAAAATAAAGTCAAAGAGATGGGCCTACTATTAAAACACAATACCCCTTTGAGTGTCCACCAGCTTAGGAAAACCCCAACCACTAAGCCACACAAAGAAACCAACCAGACTGTGGAGGAAATTGAGTTACTTCCAACTACACAATCAACCTGGATGGGTGTTAAATTGTATGCTAATGAACTAGCTTTCTCATCTAGTGTGATGTGGGAGTTTGTCTAACTCCACTTATATATCTACCTCCCCAAGTCTGCTCTGAGACTATTTTGGTTTTGACTTTCAGAGCATCACATTTTGGCTTGTTATTTCAAAACAATGGCAAGCATAATTATACCTGTGAAGTAGCATGAGCCTTACTATTTGTTAATTTTAAATTAAAATAAAAGGCTTTCTTCCTCATTTTAATAGACAAAATATATTTCTTCATTTTGATTGACAAGCCAGGACAAAGGAAAAAGTACAATACTCATTGCTGTACAGAGAACCCTCAGTAAAAATGTTTTAGTGTTTACAGAGGATCTGAGTGCCGGAGGTGTGCTGAACACTTTGCACTTATTCTTGCCAACTCTATGAGATTTGCCACTCTAAAGATGAGGAAAGGAGGCTAAAAATGGCGGAGAAACCTTCCCAAACATTTCACAGGAAGTGATGAAGCTCTTGGCTTGGCACAATTTGCTTTAGAGCCAAGGTTCTATGCTATACCATGCTGTTCAAATTTTCATATGCATATGAGTTAGCTGAGGATCTTGCCAAATGCACATTTTGACTCTGTAGGTCTGGAGTGGGGTTAGAGATTGTACATTTCTAACAAACTCTCCATGAGGCAGCTTATCCACAGATGACACTTTGAATAGCAAGGCACTTCTTTTTTTTTTTTTTTTTTGGCGGAGGCAGCTTTACTGGGGATTGAACTCAGGGGCACTCCATCACTGAGCCACATCCCAGCCCTATTTGGTATTTTATTTAGAGACAGGGTCTCACTGAGTTGCTTAGGGCCTCACTTATGCTGAGGCTGGCTTTGAACTTGAGATTACTCCTGCCTCAGCCTCCAGAGTAGCTGGTATGACAGGCGTGCACCACGGTGCCAGACTGGCAAAGCACTTTTCTACCTCAAAGACATAACTCCTTTCTCAACAGAGACAGTATTTCAGGGAGTTTGAATCAGGCACCCTCCACTCATTATTTGACCCTGATATATCTGAAACAATGAGGAGACAAGGAAGATATCAATCCAGAAACAATAGTGGTTATGGAATGCATACATTTCCATGTATTTTTACAGTAAAAATGCATTAAAAAATCTTTCACAAAAGAAACTTAAAAAATACAAGTAGGGTGTTGACTCTGCTCCCCAACATTCTTTCAGGCATCAACTGTGTAAAAGAGGGAGGGGAATTCCTAAATGGTATAAGTCATACAAAATTCTCATCCATCATCGCTCATCAACACATTTACATGGAGTGGGGGGTTAGGGAAAGTAGGCTCACAAGAATCAGTTTCCAATTTAAGGTTACAGTAGTTCAAAGAAAACTATATCTTTCTGCTTAATGCATAGTCCCTGTACAGTACAATATTTTCAAAGCAAATCTGATGTGTGGAACTAAGGTGAAATTACCACACCAAAAGTCCTCATGAACTGAAACAAGCTGGGGCGGTAGCACAGATTTTTAACACGTCAAATATCTCTTACAACAAGCAAGACAGTCAAGATGTTAACTTAAGGATACACTCCAAAAATGCACCTTGATTTCAATTATTTAAAACCCTGGACCCCAAATGAGAGTGTCAGTCATTTAACATCTCAGGTTGTGCTAGAACTAGTGAGAAAAATCCTAGCACTGCAGCCTTAGGAATAAAATCTCCAAGTTGGCTCTTAGGAAATTGACGGAAAAAAACATCATTATTCAGTTGTACTCTTCCTCAGTCTTCCTCCTACAGCTCAATGTAAGCTTTGCATGGAAAACTCGGATAATAAAAATAGCATCCACAGACTTTTCCCCTCCTTTTTAGCTACAGAATGTACATTGTTTCTGTTCCAGGAAAGGAACTTGTTTTGTAAATGTCCACACTACTATAGCTATTCATTCTAGTGTTGTGTATAAACCCATAAATCAAATAAAGCTATGAACAATGTAATATTTATATATGCATAGTGTTTTATAAAAAGATTGGCCCACATACTGCTTTTCATCAATACAGAAAGAGCATTAAGTCCATAGCACACTGTAAGAAATAAATGAGTGAAGAACAGAGAATGCAAACAAGTGCTTAATAATTCACAAGCAGGCTCACCATGGAAGAAATGATGATATCCCAAACCAACTAAAGCTTTAGAGAATTACTTATATAGTCTCCCATTTTAAAACAACTTTACATACCTGATTTAGTTTACATTAAAATATATCCCCATGAATCAATTTGTTCATATTCAGAAATATAAACACATATCACATTCCTCACAGCTAAATTTTTGTCATAAATTCTCTTTTATACAAGAAAAAAAGGCAACATTTTTTTTTTTCAACAGGCTCTATTAATTACAATTTTTAACTCTGTACACACAATGATTGGCTGGCTGTCTTTTTTTTTTTTTAATCTTTTTTTTCTTTTTTCAATACAGTACCATGGGAACAACAGTGATTGACTTGCAAAGTTTTGTGTCTGTACGGAAAATGCAAAACAGTACTACAGAAATACACAATGCACTGTAAGCAGCGGTTTGCTGTAGTGGTCCAACAGGTACAAGCAAACGTTTTGGCTCAGCTAGGCAGTAATCCATTTAAACCACATCCTGGGGCTACAGCCGACCCAACCACACCACCTGAGGGTTTCAGGAAGAATGGGTCTTTTAAAAAAGAAAAATCATTGTTTTTGTTCTGCTGTCCAAAGACTAAAGGACAGGGTCATGAGGGCAGAGGTTTCCCAACCAGGACTAGAACCACTGGGATCACTTCCTTGCTTCCCCTTTGACCAACCTAAAAACTTTATGGTTTCAAAGTGCAATTGGCATTTCTATGAATGAGCAGCCCCAGCTGTCATTTCTTTAAGTTCTCAAAAGAGAATTTCATCCACCAAACGTCACTCCTTCCTCCCTAATTTGGCAAAGGGCAATCATGGGCTATGCAAAAAAGGGGGCCATACTTTTCATCGTGGTGGTGATATTTATGTCTCCCTCATACCCAGCACACTGTCCTACATTCCATCAAATATTCAGCTTCAAATCAGACCACCGGCCAGACAACACAGGTATAGGTTGTCTGTTCCTTCTAGTAGTTGAGTAAGGCTGCCATGGAACTGCCTTAAATGAGATCTTATTCCACGGGGGAGATGCTAATGAACCTGACAATCTGTGCTTAGGCTGTGTTTGGGTAATGGCGGCCAACCTTCTTGTCTCTGTGCCTTCCTGGGCCAGAGAGAGTACAAACTGTTTCGAATCAATTCTAACCCAAGGACAAAAAAAAAAAAAAAAAAAATTTCTTTGTGCTGCCGCAGTTTAAAAAGCTATAAATATCCTTCATTTGCAATAGTAGTCTTGTCATTACAGTTTGCTTAATTTTAGGATCATTGGCAATCCTAATCCATCCCAAGAGGTCCTCAGTTTTTACAAATAGAAGTTTGCCTTTTTGCTTTGAAGAAAAACTCCTGTCTACAGTATAGCACTACATCACTATATAACAGTCTCGATCATTAATTAAACTTAATAATTTCCCGTCCTTAAAGAGAAACATGACCAACCGCCCCATTTTAACAGGAGAGAAAAAGATTGCCCAAAGGAAAAAAAAAAAAAAAAAGGGAAAAAAAATTCTTGACAATTCTACGCTTTCTATAGAAACAAAATCTATATCCCTTTGGGCCAGTATTTGGCAAATAATTTCCAAAAAAAAAAAGTATGCATTTAAAAATACTTTCTTTAATATTTATACATCAGGCACAAGACTTTTCATATATAATTTTTTTTTCTTAGAAGATCTCAAATGCATAAAATGTTTGTAGCTATTCATAGGATCACCAGGTGTCAGAGATGCTTCCTAAGGTAAGAAAACTAAATTATTTCAGGTTTGTGACCTTCCTCTTAGAACCTTTGACATGGTAAAGGTTGGAATGCGTGTCAAGTCTCAGATACTGAGGTCGGTGCTACATTCTTTATAAGGTCGCCTCCTCTGCTCCGGGGGATTTCTGGAACTTCTGCCCACTTCCTGTTTCAGAGTCGCCTCTTCCCGCTCGCGGTGGCCACCTCGGTCCTCTCGGCTCCTTTTATCCAGCGAACGCTCTCGGCGGCGCTCGGGGGACCGGGCCCGTCTCCGATCGGTGGACTTGGCCCTCCTCTCGGGCGAGGCCACTCTCCTTCGCTCCGGGGACCTTCTGGGATCCAGGAGTCTTTCAAGGGACCGCCGCCGCCGGCTGGGCGAGCTGTCCCTTCGGCGCGTGGGGGACCGCTCCCGCCGGCGCTCGGGAGACCCTTCCCGCCTCTTCTCGGGCTTCTCCCTCCTCTCCAGGGTGGTGTCGGCGCTGCGCGTGCCGTCCCGGCGCTTCTCCGGGGACCTCCTCTTGGGCCCGTTGGTTGCCATCCGCTCGGCCTGCGCGTCTCGGCGTCCCTCGGGCGCCCGGTCCTTGGGTCGGCAGGCCCCGCCGTCGGGCTTTCGGGAAGTTCCATTCCAGGTGTGGTGTTCATTGGGTTGTCTGCTGTACTCTCGGCTGCCTTTTGGGTCTCTCACGTGTGCCCGCTTCTCCCCATGTGGTGATGATTTGTGAACGTCGGGTGTGTAACTGGACTCCAATGATGGGTGCTGGCGGCCGGACGGTCCGGCCCTCACTTCCGGTCCGGCCCTCACTTCCGGTCCGGCCCTCACTTCCGGAAAGCCTTGTGCACCGGCGGAGGGGCCGTTCCGGTCGCTGCTGGGGTCTGCGAGGGAGAGAGAGAAGAGGCCCAGTTAGGTAGGGAGGACCTGCATGGTCCAGTCCCCGCTCCCTCCCGTGCTCCACTCATTAGTCACAACAAACAAACAACTGTTAAAAGCCATCAGAGTCAAAGCCAACTGAGTCTTGGTTACGTTATGTATAACTGCAACTAGTTAGGGTTACCAACTAGTACTTGTGGCTTTCAGCATCTGGCTCTTTTTGATACCCCAGATAGATCATTAAAGAATTTATTAAATCAGGCATGACTTTAGTCTTTAAAGGCACACCCCAGGTAGTCTGTCTACAGGTACCCAAATTTCTCCCCCTTACCTATCCCCCTGCCTCTCTCCTCCCCATCTACCAACCCTTTTCCTCTTCCCCACCCTACACTGCCCCCAAGAAAGAAAATCTCCTTTCCTTTAAAGAATGCTTGTTTTGATTTGCTTAAAAACAATCTAGGACATTGACCTGGAGGGGCATAGGAAGCTTCTTGGGGGACAGAAGTAGTCTATGGCTTATCTGAGTGGTGACCTAAATGTGTGCACACAGAGGTGAAAACTACAATGCATCACACACTCAGGATTCACATATTTTTACCATATGCAAAGCATATTTATACTTTAAAACAATAATCCAAAGTGTTGAGCAAAGGGGATTGTGGCAGCAGCATAATGGCCAGGTGCTGATTGGCAAATGTCACATGCACTTGAGGGGCCACTGAACTATACTTTTGTGTGTGCTCTTCAACTATTTTGTCTACTTTGGGTAAATTCAAAAATAAGGAACCATCTTTCAAATGCAGAGTTTTCTGGTAGATAAAAGGAAGGGGGGAAAGAGGTGGTTAATTACACATTTGCAATTAGACAGGGCTCACAAAATCCTTAAGTTTAAAGGCAGTTTTTCTGTATGATATATGAAGCAGTCATAACAATATGGAGGAACTGTGGAGCCACTGGACTGCTCCTTTTTTTTTTCCTTTTGAAATTGGTACATTATAATTATACATGACTGGGGAAGGAGAGTGATCAAATTATACGCATGTATGAATATGGCATAATGGATCTCACTATTATAGACTGCTTCTTATACCACCAAGATGTCTATAGGTTTAAAAGTAGGGCAGCATCATGAATTTATGAGAGCCCAGGGATGCTTTGGTGCAACTAAACGCAACAAATTCCAGGAGCCTAAAATATTGTGTTGCAGTAGGGAGGGCAGACCCATGTGACAGAGAGGAGGGAATCACTGGGGCTCTTAAAAGATCTTTCATGAGGCAGCCAGGTCTCTATTCAGCAATTAATATGTTTCATGAAAGATCTTCCAACACCCAGCATGGCTTTTAGCAAAAGCAGGTACATAACCTAAAGCAGGGATTAGCAAAGTTTTTCTAAAAGGCCAGGTAGTAAATATTCTGGACCACAGTCTCTGTTGCAACTGTTCAAACCAGCCACTGTAGGGCAGAAGCACAGGCAACACAAAACAGAAATGGGTGTGTAGCTATGCATCAGTAAATCTTACTTACAGACACAGGCTGTGGTCAGGATTTGGCCCCTAGGCTGTAGAATGCCAGAGATACCTGAAGAATGGGGGAATCTCTTCCCATCTGGCAAAGCCCTATCTATCTGGGTGAGAGCTCTGTGGTATAAGGTTCATTCTTTCTAAATGCTGGGTGGACTATCAGAACGAAGACAAAAGTCATCTGACATTTGGGTAAGGGAAGGTCCTCAGATCACTATTCTAAATCTAACCTTGAAATCTTATGCCTACTTTCAAGACAAGGGAGAGCAACACTTCAACAGGGGTCAGCGGTGTACTTACAATTCCAAGAACGCAGGGTGCTCAGAATGAATTGCCAAACATATCAAAATAGAGCTAAGCAGAAGCAATGAGGAAATTAGGCCACAGCACAGAAACACCTAGTATTGATTGAGCTACAAACCGTAGTTTGATTATGGCCCATAAGGTAGAAGCAAGCCTCCCCGAGCTTTTCATTTCTCATACATGCAGCGATATTAGGAGGTATCATCGCTGTAGAAGGGAGGGCCCAGCACCAAGAACAGTCAGAGAGAAAGAGAAAGAGAGAAAGAGAAAAAGTTGAACATTTAGATTCCCTATAACAAGGAGGAAAGAAAAAAAATCTGTATTTGTTAACATAGGGCAAAGAGAGTTTATTTGTCCAGTCAGACAGTCTAAGGCAACACTCAAATAAGGCTGCAGAGACCGCAATTGGAACATGACGTACGTCTTTAGACAGCCATAAGATGACTTGAGAACCCAGACAATGAATGCATCCTTTTTTTTTTTTTTTTTTTTAAACAAACGGAACAATGACAGGCTGGCATAGGAGAGCAATAACAAAAAACAAAAAAAAAAAAAAGTCCCCCCCCAACCCCCCCCCCCCAGACCGCGGCAGTTAAATTAAGTACAAAAACTCATTACAAAAATAGCCTCACAGAGAAGCAGGTTCCAATCAAGTCAGAAAAATATTGGAACTTAACATATTATAACCCATTTGTGACTCTAATCAATAGAATTAGAGAGGTTTAGTCCAAATGACGCATGGAAACATTACAGCAGCACAACCCTGGCAATGTTCAACCCTTTTTGGAAAACCATGTATTTAAATGATCTTTATTATTATTATTATTATTATTTTTAGCCCAAAGAACATTTGTTAGTGTTGGATTTTCATCCTCAGTGCAACAGACATAGGTTTGGAGAAGGTACACAGGTTACTGACGATGACTCTCAAATGAAATATCACATCCGACAGAAGGCATAGGGAAGACAGAAAAGGAAGACAATGTTACACAGCTTCAGTGGCATCAATACACCTAACAGTCAGAAGTTTAGTACAGTACGCAGCCATGTCATCTGAATGTCGTCATGAACTTCCCCCTGTGGTTGGCCGGGCCTAAAGGGGCCTTGTCTGAAACCCACCCTCCCCCCTTCCCTCGGATCCCTCATATTGTGCACCTGTACCCATGTCCAACACCAGGGGAAGCTGCCTGCACGGGAGCTGTTCCCCTCCTTGAGCTACATCTGAATGAAGGATCTCATCAAGGAAGTCCAAAAATGCAACTGGGAATTGTGCAGAGTGACTTTCAGAAAAGAGGGTGATAACAGATAAATCCCTAATAAAGGGGACCAATGTATATGGGGATCATTCAATTACAGTTTCTATAGAAACTTTTGTAGACCTTTGGTTGGGAAAAAAAAGCCCTACATCTAGGGCATAGCTTTTTTTTTCTCTTTTTTTTTAAATTTTAAACAAGAATCTCAAATAAATAGGACAGAATTATTACAATATACAATATTTTGCCATCAGAACACTAAGCTAGGTAAAGATCATTGCCATCTACTCAAATCATGTCTAAAGATATGACAAAGGAACTCTACGTATAACCTGGCTTTCCTCATAGGAAAGGTATAGTAACATGTTTCCCTCATGATGAGCACTGGGAATCTATTTCGTCCTTCATCACTTAAAAACATATGGCTAATATGTCAACAGTTTTTGTTCGTTTGACAGTAGTGGGCTCAGGTGGTCTGATTTGGGGTCAGAGACCAGTGGAGGGATGGAGAATTTTTGGACGCAGAGCATATAGGAGGTGAGCAAAGCCCCCAAATCATCTTGAAATTTCACGCCTCTTAAATAAAGACATCAAGTAACCAAAAAAAAAAAAAGAAAAAAAATATATATATATTTGTGCCTCATCATATCACTCAGGAAACCTGCTTTCCTGCTTCTTAAAAGGAGTATAGAGTCATTTTGTGCTAACAATTGGATCTGAGAAACAGTTTGGCACAGTTCAAACAAACATTCCTTCGCTCTTGGTCGGACTAGACAAAATGTTCTCTCTGATTATCAGAAAGGGGGCTCTAAAGATCTTGTCCTAGGCCTTGCCCCAGTCCACAGAAGCAAGCAAAAAGATGAAATGTGGAGATTTCAGAACAAGCGAAGCAAATAATCACATGGTGCGAGAGGCTGTAAGACACTGGTGAATGGGGAGACAGAAAGGACTTTCCTGCTGCCGTTCTGGAGACAGAGTCATGGAGTCATGCCAGGGAAGGAAGGAATGTTTTCATAGTTTGACCCACCATATTCCGGGACCGAGCCGTCTCCCCGCCTCAGAAACAGACGAACTCTGCGGCCACCATTCTTAATCAGTTCAATGGCCCGAGAGTGCTTCATGTTTTTGGTGGTCTCGCCATTGATCTCTAGAATTTCATCACCAATCTGCCATGGTAGGAGCAGAACATAGCGAGAGTCATAAAAAGAAAGAAATATAAATGGTCAACACATATATGAAAAAAATGTTTAACATCTCTAACAATTAGAAGAATGCAAATTGAAACTACTCTGAGATTCCATCTCACTCTAGTCAGAATGGCAATTATCAAGAATACAAGTAACAGGGCTGGGGATGTGGCTCAAGTGGTAGCGTGCTTGCCTGGCATGCGTGCAGCCCGGGTTCGATCCTCAGCACCACATACAAACAAAGATGTTGTGTCCGCCGAAAACTAAAAAATAAATTAAATTCTCTCTCTCTCTCTCTCTCTCTTAAAAAATGTTTTTCAAAAAAAAAGAATACAAGTAACAATAAATGTTGGCGAGCATGTGAGGGGAAAGGTTCACTCATACATTGCTGGTGGGACTGCAAATTGGTGCAACCACTCTGGAAAGCAGTATGGAGATTTCTTAGAAAACTTTGAATGGAACCACCATTTGATCCAGTTATCCCACTCCTCGTTTATATACCCAAAGGACTTAAAATCAGCATACTACAGTGACATAGCCACATGAATGTTTAGTGGAGCTCAACTCACAATAGCCAAGCTACAGAAACAACCTAGGTGTCCTTCTATGGATGAATGGATAAAGAAAATGTGATATATATGCACAATGGAATATTAGCCATAAAGAAGAGAGAGATCATGACATTTGCTGGTAAATGGATGGAACCGGAGACTATCGTACTAAGTGAAATAAGCCAGTCCCAAAAAACCAAAGGCTGAATGTTCTCTCTGATGTGCGGATGCTAACCCACAACAAGGGAGGGTACAGGGGACGTATAGAAGTTTATTGGATTAGACGGAGGGGGAATGGGAATAGGAAAGACAATGAATCGTACATAATTTTCTTATGCACATATATGAATACATGACCAGTGAAACTCCACATCATATTCAACTATGAGAATGGAATCAAAATTGTAATGGGTTGAATTCCATGTATGTATAACATGTCGGAATACACCCTACTGTTATGTATATCTAAAAACAAACAACAACAACAACAGTAAAAACGTAAGTCACTGCAGATGCTTCTTCACATCTACTCCAGCCTCCTTTTCCTACTTACCCTCATCTTTCCACATCTTTCTGCAGGACCATCCTCTGCTAAGCGCAGAACATAGAGGTCCATGTTATATTCTCGACCCCCTCGAAGACTAAAGCCAAATCCCTTGGCTCCTCTTTCCAGTTCCACAGTGTAAAAATCTTGCTCCTATTTAAAGAAATTAAATGCAGTCATTCAGGTAGAACTGCTATCCACACATGTTTTTCTCATATCTTCCCAAACATTCCATGTCATGTTGATTTGGCCGAAAGGCACAGTCTCTAGTCCTCTCTTAGTGACTCTTAAGTGCTTATTAGTCATCCTCATTAATCTTCATTAATATCAGAAGTTGGAAATCCAGAATTTGAAACACTTAGGATCATGCTTATACCTATGCACATATTAAAATTCAACTAGGAAGGTTGCAATCTGCATTTAGGGCAGGAAGCTTCTTCATCACATGATACCATCCATTTGTGGCTGGATGTTCAGCTTCCTTGAACCTGGCCTGAGAAGCACCAGGGTCTACCACTAGCACTGCGTCTATGCCAACCTCTGCAGTCTGGGGAGTGGTTCCCATTCTCTGTGGGCAAGACCACAAACGGACTACTGAAGGGTCCACAGAGGCCAGCAGAAAAGAAACTTATTTATCTCGGCATCACCCAGTGGTTCCCAGATTTGTTTCACTTGCTAACCATCTTGAGAGGCAGGTATCCTGGCTCTCACCTGAAATCCACAGTCCCCAAAACCACCTTAACAACAACAACAACAAAAAGAGATTTTCTTGAAGAACTATGATTTTGCAAACAGTTATTAGATGCTTTGCTTTTTCTCCGACCACTGATCCTTGTGACAGCTTTTCAGTATTTTGGTCTTATTTTTCTCTCCCTACCAAAGCATATGTTAGAATATTTTTTCAAAGGTAGTAAAATAAAAGCAAATATGAGTATATATGTCAAGCAAATATGAGTATATATGTGGAAAATCACTGCACAAAAGGACGTTTATTTTAAATTAAGGATGCCCTTCAAAAAAATATCCTGTAAAAACAGCTTCAGAAAGTTGGAAGGAAATGAGCAAAATGCAGGAAACAAAAAAAAGGAGAAAGGACCCTCACCTGGGTAGCCTGGGGAGCTTTGAACTCGAACTGAGATTCCGGCTTTGGTTTGGCGGTGTTCCTGCCAAAGTGAGAGAAATAAATATAACAGCAATGCAGGGGGAGACGGAAAACATGTCTCATCATGATGAGAGGACAGGTCCCTTTTCCCCCTTTAAAGTAACAAAAGGAACCAAAGTCTCAGCTGACCTTGTCTCCTGGGCCCCTTGCTGAGAAGGGGTGTGTGTGGTGGTGATGGTGGCAATCTTCTCTGCATTGGTCAGCAAAGTGGCATTTGAGGACTCTGTGGGACAGAGCATAAAGAAATGAAGGCCTGAGAGAAGACATCATCCAACTGGGAGGTGAGCAGAAACCCTGTCTCTAAGTGACAAATCTGACTTCCCTGTCCCCATTTCAATTAGTTGGACTCAAATTTCTAAAGACTCAGGAATTTAATGAACCATCCTAAGATCTTCTCTGCTGTGGCTCATGTATGCCCCCCACTGTGACCCTCCTCCTAAGCAGACATTCCCTCAAATGAAATAGGGTCTGCCAGGGGAAAAGCTGCTCTAAAATTACAGCCAGCATGGGTGTGTCTGACTCCTCCCCACCACTGAGAGATGGCAATCCATCAAAACACTGGGCCGCCCTGGAGGTATTTCACAGGATTGTACAGGCTGCTAATAAATGTCCCTGCTAACATTTCCTGCAACTTATCAGCAGCATTTGGTGAGTATGCCTGATTTCCTCATGTGAATATTAAATTCAGAAGTGAGCTAACATATTATTAAACACAAATAACATCTCCTTTCTTCCTCATTGCTTTTCATAAAGCACAAGTGAAAATATGGAACTCTTGACAGATCTCCATCTAGTATCACTCATGAAAGATTAATTTTAAAACCTGCATTAGAAGAACCAGAGTTATAAAGATAAGTTGTATAAATCATGAAGCTGCTTTAAAGTAAGGAATAGGATTATATTCCTATGTAAATTGAATTTCTTCTCCACTCATCACATTCATAAGCAACTTCATAATCTCTACCAGTTTGGAGACTCAGAATCTGAAAAAAAAAATCATAAAAAAACCAAAAACTATAGATAACACATCCATGTGTATGTATTAAAATTTAATCACTCGTATGGTAACAGATATATGCTTTTTTGCTAATAATTTCTCCATTAAAATCAAGGTAAGTAGCAACCACCAGGAGCGAGCCATACATTTAATATTTATTCTTAAATGGACTCTTAGGAACTTGGCTTTTATTTTCTCATCAAGAAAATACTAGGGGCTGGGGCTGTAACTCAGAGGTAGAGTGCTTGCCTAGCATGCGTGAGGCACTGGGTTTGATCCTCAGCACCACATAAAAATAAAAAAAAAAATTAAAAAAGAAGAAAGAAAAGAAAGAAAGAAAAGAAAATACTAACTGTGGTTGTTAGGTTCTAAAATTAGCCTGCAAGTGCCCATTTAATTAATAGTGAACCATGAGGTCTAGAAGATTCCCTGAGTTCTATGCTTCCTAGTACTTCGATGTTTATTGACTACATTGGGTATAAGGAGGTTTCTATGGGATAATATTTTAAGTACTTGAAACTAAGAAGCCTGTAATCTCTCCCCCCCTTCCACTCCCCTCCCCACCCCTTGTTCCCCTACAGTCCTGGGATAAGAGACCTCCTATGCACCCAATGGCTGGTGGTCTCTCTTCCGTTTTAATTTCTTGAGAACACTGCTCAATTCGGGTCTGGTGTCCTGTTACTTTACTTTCATGACACACAGGGGTTAAAAGCATGTGTTTGAGATTCACACAGAATTCAAATCCCTCTTTCTCCACCCATTAATGGTGTGCCTGACTCTTCTCACCCAGGACGAGGGAATGCTGCCGATCGATCGGTCCTCTCAGGATGAAAGGATGCGAGACGCATAGCATCAGTGCTAGACCACAGCCCGCACTCAACACATTCACTACACTACTATGGGGGCATCTTTAAGTTAGGGAAACTCTCTGCAGCAAGAGAAGGTTAAAGAGGATTTTAACAGTTTATATGCCAGCCATAAAAGTCCCTGATTCTTATAGCCATGCCCAAGATTAATAAGAAAATGTAAGTAGAAAGCATAGTTTTATGAATCTTATTCATGTTTTAGGACAATGTTTCTCACAATGTGTTCTACAAATGTTTCTACAGATTCTGAAGGAGAAGAACCTGTGATCCACTAAGTCTGGGAACTAAAGGGTGAAACAAAGGGGACACAGATGTCTGGTTCCTTGTTCCTATGGACTCCTCAGAGCATTGACTGGCCTAGTGTGACTTGAGACCCTTGGGTCAGGCAAAGGCTGTGCCTCAAGCTTACTGGGAGGCAGGTTAGCCAAATGGTTACAAGGGTCAGATTCTGAGTCAGACTGCCTCGCTTTGCATAGTAGGCTGCACTAGACAGGACAAGAGCAAAGCCATTTCAACTTTCAGTGTCTCAGTTTCCTCATCTGCAGAGGAGAATAACAGAAGTATCTAAGGAAAGTGGTACAGTGATGATCTAAGAGGAACTATTAGGGACAGTGCCAGACACATTAGTGCTCAAAAAAATTATTAGCATACTTTTAGTATGTATTATTATAATATTAAAAGCATATTACTGGTACATTTTTAGGATTACTACTGTAAATGGTTTTTTTAGAGCATTTGGAAGGTCATTAGCACCTTCATATCACTCCCATTCAAGCACAGTTAACTGGCAAAACCGATGAATCTAAGTGATATTTCATACAAGTCATCCACCAGGTCAGTACACAGGACACACAGACTGTCAGTGACACTCACCAGAACTCCCATAAAATCTGGTCCTTTAGCTAACCTCATACAGCTCATTGTAATTCATTTTATAAAGATTCTCTGGGAAATCATAAGATCATTTGGGCCATGGGGAAATCACAATCAGGGTACCAAAAAAAGAACATTTCTTTGTAATTAAAGTGATTAGAATTACTGAATTGTGAAGAAGTTCCCATTTGGAGTTATTGTGTGCTTTTGGTAGCTGGAATATTCCAGGAATATGGAATCCTATTCTCAAATGATTTTTCATATTTCTGCTGCTTTCATGATTTAATGATATAACAGATAATCACTCAAAACACATATAAACAGAATGTCCTTATTAATTTTCCTCTTATCCTTCATTTGCTGTTTTCCCCAATTATATTTACATGCAAATCTTTTTTAGGGTTGCAGCTTCACTTTGAGCTTTTTAAAGAAATTAATGCTTAATATGCAAATGTCTATTTGAGCTCAGGGACTTTTCCTTATTTTGCATTTTTTAAAATCTATGAACAACCACCATTTACAAGACCATGTGCAGAGTGCCAAGCAAGCACTATACTGGGACCACGACCGTGGGCGCTACTTCAATTAATGGCCACCACTTCATAAAACCAGTGCAAGTTATTGCCCTGTTTATAGATGGAGACGCTGGGGCATAGGAAAGGTAAGAAACTGCCCAGGATCACCCAGGAGGCAAGTAATGGGAATCAAACTCGGGCTTGCCTGAAAGTGTGCTTTTAGTCTTACTGTTCACATGGGGATCTGTGTTGGTATCCAGAAAATCATACCTGATTGACACCTCCGTTCATGTAAGCAATGTTTTCATTTTACTGCATAACTGCTACTAATTTCTCTAGGCAGTATCCTAGATTAACCAAAATACAGAATGCCCTGCTTGGACTACTGAATTTCATGGGTTCTTTTCAGAGGACCAAAAAAATTTTAGCATGGCCTTGATTTCCAGGGTGCTTTTATAATACCAATAAAGTTAGACTTGTTTTCATAAACTTTTAAGTCTTCATTTGGAATTAAACCAAAATTGTATCTGCTGAAATGTTCTCTAACTTTTTAAAATATAGAGATGAGGTCCATTATCAAAAATTTATAGCTCTATCCCCAAAGCAAAATTTGGCCTGTATAATAGGAAAAAAAAAAAAAGAGCCTGAAAAAGAGTCTAGCCTCCTCACCCTCCACTCACCCTCCAGCAGCGATATTATAAAGGAGTGTCAATATATTTGACTTTTAAAAGACTAAGGCAGATGAATCTATTGGATATTTTTATGGATATTCCAGAAAGTGCCTCCCACATTCTTTATTAAACAGAGTTTATACCTACTTTAGCTCTCCCAGAGGAATGAAAATGGATATTAATATACTTTCCATAGCAATCATGTATCAAGAAAAACAGCTCTTAAGCATGTCATGAGGCTGTTGGAAATCGGGGCCCTCACTCTTCTGACAGGAGATTCTACCTTGGGTTTGAGCCTATCTCTGTGACAAGTGATTATGATTCTAGCCTTGTTCCTATGTCAATGTTCTTACCCTTCCTTCCGGAATCCACATGAAAAGCTAAGCAAATCAACAAAGAACATGATCATTTCTTTCATAAATATTTGATTGTGTAAACATATGTGTCATAAATACTGAAGGTGATATTGGAAAATCTGAACCCCACAAATATGTGGAAAGTTCAGGGAGGACTTTTTACTATCTATACCTTTGCCAAGGAAATAGCAATATCTGTTTTGCAAGCTCATCTCTAAAAGCAAACACTCTGAATCAGGTGAACTGAAGAAGAAATTCAAGACCACAATTAAAAAAAAAAAAAAAAAAAAATATATATATATATATAAAAAAATAAAAAAATATATATATATATATATATATTCTCATATTCTCATTATTTTGAACATGATTCCACATTAGTTTGGTTCAGGCTCTGCTCTGATTACTCTTCTTCCCACTCAGAATAAGACTACACGGACATTTCTGTATGATCCAAGTGTGGTCTGACTTGTTGGAGATCAAGTTCGGATTCAATCTGTTCAGCTACTTAGGCCTTTCTGTGTGGCTGTTGTGTATTTACTATCCCTTGCCCATATCTCACAGAAGAAAAGGTTCTCCCCTAACTCAACCTCCCACCCTGACCCCAAATTCATAAATGACAGAGAAGTATAGACTCCCCTGGTCACAGCCTGTCTAAGATCTGTGGAGGTAAACCTTCTAACAGCATAGACATGCCAAATAAAAGGGAGTTATATTTTGGAGTTTTGTTATAGAGGTAAGAGAAATGGGAGAAGCAAGTCAGGGAAACTAAAGTCTGAGATAAGGGAAATTGGAAAAAGAATGAGGAATCTGATGACAAGAAAACAGACTTGGGTACCATGAGTTAAAGAGTAGATTCAGCCGGGCATGGTGGCGCACACCTGTAATCCCAGTGGCTCAGGAGGCTGAGGCAAGTTCAAGGCCAGCCTCTGTAAAAACAAGGCTCTAAGCAACTCAGACTCTGTCTCTAAATACAATACAAAAAATAGGGCTGGGTATGGGGCTCAGTGGTTGATTGCCCCTGAGTTCAATCCCTGGTACCAAAAATAGTGGATTCAGAGGGTTTCTGAGCACTGTACAAATGAGGGGGAATCTTCTCCAAGTGCCTCCTGGGGTTTCTAAGAACTGTTATTTCAGACGTGATAGATCTCTAAGCGCTTAGAACCATGCTAGCTAAAAACTTCGAACTCCTTGTAGATACCATGAAACAATTGGTCTTTGGGCTACTTGATGAGGTAAATATCAGAATGAAAGATCTGAAGGAGACCAGAGGGCCCTAATCCAGAGAGCACCTCCCTATACCTCCACAGTCAGCCATGTCTAACTTGCACACAGAGGAAGTAGATCAAGCAAGATTTTCTCTTCATCACACTGTCATGGTCATTCTACTTCTTGTACGTGTTTGAGACATTCTCTTGGATTGCTATCTAATTCCCCCAGAAATCTAACTCCCCTGCCGCCGCTCTAATTTCCAAGATGGCCCCTTAAAGATGAGCATTGCACTTCACCTTCTGATAGAAGTGATTCCCTTTACTTAGATCTTGATACTTACAAAGTCACTGGCAAAAACGTTTATTATCATGGCACAATGATAGAACATTTTAGAAACATTTTAGATGAGATCAACCTCAGCAGATCATGGGCCATCTTTAAAGATATCAATCCTTCACTACTTTATTTTACTATCTTCTAAGGAGCACAAGAGATCTGCCTGAATTTTGTAAGCACTGAAGTTTTAAGAATTCCTTTTTATTGCCAACTGTTAGGGGACAATCCACAGTGCATTATATTTTGGGGGGTTCAGGTTTTCAAAAATACAGTGACTCTACTTCACTAACTCAACACCTAGTATGTGCAGAGTAGTATAAGTTGCTTTTGCATATGTTTGTCTTTTCTGATTTCAAACTCTTTCTCTATGCCCTTCCTGCAAGGAGAGCTTTCTTTCCTTCTTTTCTGAGACATTCTCATTCCCATATTAAAACAAACCAGTACAGAACCGGCAAGTCAATTCCTGTTTCCCATTCTTCTGGATTATTTTTTGCAATCTCTCTATAGTCTCTGAACCATTCCTCACTCCATTTTTCTGGTTTCATTTATCCTTTCCATTAAGAATCTATGTTTCCACATTTTATCATCATGTGCTCACTTTTGTAAACTGTAATAGCTTTCCAGAGTGGTAATTTGGTGGAATGGACTTCAGACCAGATGGTAAATTACTAACCATGGTTGGAAAGAGGGTGAGGAAGACCACCATTCAAGGAACTATTTTCTTTCTCTCCAATTGGTATGGGATATTTTTGGCACAAAGAAAGTTTTCTGTTCTTAGAATGAAAAAATTTCAAATATTTACTGTTTAGTTTTGCATTTACTTGTTCTGAAAATCACTGGCTACATCAATCAAAACTTGAACCAAAAAATTCACTTTCTCATAATTACTATATAAAAATACTTATTTGGTGAATGACTTCCAGATAAAATGTTTGATTTTCTTACTTTATTGGATCTATGGCATAGCATGTTTTTACTGTACTATCTATATAAACCACATTTCTCTCTTGAGAAATACTCAGTGGCTTTTAGAATATGTATTTTATTTTATAACATGTATGGAAAGAATGAAAAAAGGCAATTAAACATTTTGTAACAAGTTATAACTTTTGTCCCAAGGGCTAGGTTGGTGTAGGATCAATTATTTATCAATCAATTATTCAGGATTTAAGTGCCAAAGCAATCTATACTTACTGATATTAGTGTTATCAACTTCATGTTTACAAAATATGAGTAAGAAGACAAACACTGATATTTTTGCACGGGGTTATTATTATGGAGGCTCTTTTGTGTACTTTAGGACATTTGGGAGCATCTCTAGTCTGCACCCACTAGGTGCCACTGCCAACATTGACAAATGTCCTCGTGGTCCGGCAGAGGGTGGGGTAGGGAAAAACCAACGATTTGACTTTAATGAGTCAAGCAAATAGGCATAAAAGAATAGTTCTAATTTAATGTAAATATAATCTATGAAAAATGAAGATATTTAATTTTTTCTTCATCTACATGTAAAAATTTGGGCTACAGTGATGGCACACACCTGTAATCCCAGCAGCTCAGGAGGCTGAAGGAGGAGGATGGTGAGTTCAAAGCCAGCCTCAGTAGAAGCCAGGTATAAGCAACTCATTGAGACCCTGTCTCTAAATAAAATAGGGCTGGGGATGTGGCTCAGTGGCCGAGTGCCCCTGAGTTCAATCTCCAATACCCCCCTCCCTCCAAAATTAGGACAAATCAAGTAGGCATAAACCCTAAGATTTTCTCATTAAATAAAAATTTTGATACATTCACTTATTCTGGAAGAGCATAGTACTGGCTCTGCACTCCCGTTAGGTAGGTTTTGAGAAGTTGCCATATTCTACTATTAAATTTCAGTGATGATTTGAAAAGGGCATTCATGAGTTCCAGATAGAACATCAGGTAATCTTTACTACTTGCATGAAAACTTACAGTTTTCTGTGTAGTTTTGAAGGGGCACACTGGAGGCTTTGTGGAGTTCCCCTATCTGTAGCAAGACAGGATCCCAGGGCGATGGGATGAATCAGATGAAGGTGAGATGTGGTTTAGTAACAATGGCTATGTTGGCTTGATGGGTATGTTCAGTTAGGGACTGACAGAGCTGCCTCTAAGTCAAAACTATTCAATTACATGAGCATTAATGAGAGAGAGAGAGAGAGAGAGAACATGAGAGAGAGGGAGAGAGATAAGAGGTATACTTTACCATCCCCAGGAATGATGCGGAGGGTAACTGTGTTTCCTGCTTCCTTGATTAGGTTGACAATGTCTGAATGGGATTTGTTGGTGATGGAACATCCATTTACTGCCAAGATCCGGTCTCCTACTTTCAGCTTGCCACAGCGGTCAGCAGGGCTCCCCTCAATAATCCGACCTATTTTGTGAGGCATAGCCACACATGCATTGCCTGCTTTGATATTGAATTTTAAGTTGTTTTTTTTTTTTTTAAGTTACGTGGGAATATAGTGAAGGGAGGAGAAAAAGGGTTGAAAAGGGAAAGAGAAGGTTAAGTGTTAATTAATTAAAGCATTAAGCAAATGTTATTAAAGGAGAGCTCTGTGCCGACGGTCAAAACATTGGCAATACTAGGTGCCTACCTCTGAGGCCATGCCCTGAACCAGAGTTCACGGCTGTAGCTATTCCCTGATTCCAAGGGAAACACCCTTGTCTCCCTCCTACAATAATTGCACAATCTGGGCTCTCTAGCAACTTCAAAGAGACTCGAGAGCCCCAAATAGCTTACTGTTGGCTTATTTAGGGACCACTAATGTGAGGCCCAGAGCAGGGCGGGGGAGGGGGGTGCTTTTCACAGAGTCATTTAGTTTTTTTGCCAGCTGTTGTATAAGCTGCTGCCAATGTTTTGTTCTTTCACCATTTAGAAAAATAATCCCTGGCTTTCTGGTGAGGTCTAAGAGTCTCCTATACCCCAAATTCAATCTGAAATCACTAATGGACCAGCACTTTCTGCCTTCTATTCAGAATGATGAAAGCTGTAGAAAAGGGGCATAATTACGAGAGATGAGCCAAGAAAGCATCCAACCTTGACACTTCCTTTCATGATGGGACCTCTGCTCAATCGGCCCATCTCATGTGCTTTCAGGGGAGGGCTCAGCAGGCTCATTAGCTCCAAAATCCTCCTCCTGCCTCCCAAAAGTTCCCCCAAAGGAATATGAGAACCTAGTACTCGTTCAGACGGAGGATGCTGATCCAAAGCCAAGTTCAAATCAATCCTCAGCCCCTTTTCCTTTCATCATTTCCTTTCTCATCAACAGTTAGTATACATCCACAATCTGCATTACCAGGAAAAGGGTATTTGAAGAGTGCTTGGAGATACTCCATGTCACTACTAGCTTCTAGAGAAAGGTAGAAATTGGCTTTGAGGTCCGACATGGGATTTCCAGGTCATCAGATATCAAGTTTCAATGTTTCTTATTCATATGCATCTATTTTGAGAATTAGTCTTTCTAGGAACAATAAAGATGTGAAGCCACCTTTTGGGAGGATGGCAAAGTTAACATGGCAGACCCTGAAACTACTTGAGTTGGAACTTCCATCATAATTTAGAAGGGTCAAAGGTGGGGGGAAATGCCCATTATTGTTTTGATTTCAACAGATTTGCCCAAGTTTCAAAAGAAGGCAAGCTGTCTACTGGAAGCCAACAAACAGGTGTGGTGGGAGCATGGAGAATCAGACTCAAGGTCTTGATTAAGTTTAGCTCATCTCCAAGGAGAACTCAAATGGCAAAGGTATCAAACAGCAGGTTCCAGGAAAGCGCTGCACAGCTCAGAAGTCTCATGCAAGGTATTAGGCAAAGTTTAATTTGATTGTAAGAATCAAAGGAAAACAATCAAAGACCAAATTGTAAGTAAAAACATTCAATATTCATCATACAACACATAACCTGAAACCCGACATATCTGTTCTTTCTTTCTAGAAACTGAATGTGAGAATTCTGAAATAGCTGAAGGTATTACGTGGTACATGTCAAATTGTAGATCTGAAGGGAAAAACAACTTGGGGTTTCTTTTCTCTTCTTACTTTTTTTAAAGTAAGCAGAAAAATCTCCAAAATTATTTTAAAAAGCAAAACAAAACACACACACACAAAATAAATAAATAAATAAAACCCTAGCTTTGTTTTCAGGTTATCCAGCCAGGACATGCTATGATAACTTTATTAATGTAGCTCACAAAAGCACTGTTAGTAAGGGGTGTTTGTTACTGCAGCCACACATGCATAGACCTGGCTGAGTGTCTCCTTCAGAATGTAAAACTTAAGGGCAAGGCAGCTTTAGCAGGAAGCAACCTTCTAAATGGATGCAAAATGAGTTCTACTGGATCAGAACGCTAAGGAGATGTAGCACCTTGCTGATCCTAGCCAGTGAGTGACCAAGGCCACTGGTCATCAGGCTTCAAGTGGTCAGGTCACTTGGGGTAAATGTCAGAGCCTTCATGGCTCTTCCCCTTCTCCCATCACATATTTACTAACAACCACGCCTGGGAGATGGCAAAGGACTTTTGAAATCTTATCAGGAAGGTGCATCTTTTTGAAGTGTATTGTCTATGATCCATTGTAAGGAGAAATAGAGCCATCTGATAGACTCATCTGAGTTCTTGTTGTTTTCGCTCATGCAAAGACAGCAAAGACTTGGAGAGAGCAACACTGGTGTTTCTCCATACGTGGCTGAAACCCCCGACATTAGAATGTAACCCAACATCAAATGACTTCGAACCCAGATCTTAACCAGATTCTTAGATCAAGAAACAGGAAAATATTACTTTAAACATTTAAAATATTCAGATAGGGATAGAGAAAGGGTACAGAGGAGTTGGGAAGAGCACCTCATGTCACATTTAACTCCTTACACCTCTTTTTTTTTTTTTTCTTTCCTGATCATTTTTGTGTCCTGATGCTCCTTTTATAAACCTGGAAGACTTTCTGAGGGCATTGCTATTAAGGATATTCTACTTAGGACGTGTCCACAGTCTGTATGGCAAACACTTCAGCTACTTCATGCTGTCAAGGGGTTGCTATTTAAGTTTCACGCAAACCTCATGTAGGCTTGAAGCTTTGCTATCACACATTTAGAATGAAAACTAAAAGGGTTAATTTTTTTTCCCCCAAACTTTAGGAGGGAAAAAGCTCCCAAAGAGACTCCATCCCCAATTAAGACTCTAATTACCCAAAGCAAAAAGCATTAAAGCGTTTCTGTTAATGAGATCCTGGCTGACTTCCCCTGGCAAGGGAGCCTGCCCTGGCGCGGAGGGAACCCCGGACAAATGCGCTCAGCACTCACCGAAGGTCGTGCCTGCTTCGGGCCTGCTCACCGAGGACACGATGACGAAGCCGAAGCCCTCGTTCTCCCCGCGCCGGATCTCCACGTCGTAGGGCTGCACCACGGTGCTGACCACGGTGCTGACCACGCCACTGCCCCCGCCGCCGCCGCTGCCAATGCCGCTGGTGCTGCCGCTGCCCGAGCTCACGGTGTTGAGGGAGTTCTGGCTGCCCTGTGGGGTGCGCTTCTCCTCCGTCAGCGAGGCCGGCTGGGTGCTGCTGTGGTGGGAGGAGGCTGGCGAGGGCACCTCGTTCTCGGTTTTCGGGACTGCAACAGAGATTTGCGTCTGAGTCTTTTTTTTTTTTCTTTTTTTTTTGGGGGGGGGGCGTGTAATAGGGATTGAACTCAGGGTCACTGGAACACTGAGCCCCATCCCCAGCCCTATTTTGTATTTTATTTAGAGACAGGGTCTCACTGAGTTGCTCAGGGCCTCACTGTTGCTGAGGCTGGCTTTGAACTCATGATCCTCCTGCCTCAGCCTTATAAGCCTCTGGGATTATAGGCATGCAACATTGCACATGGTTCACGTCTAAATCTTGACACCACCAAAAAACGTGCCCTGCCACCCCTTCCACCTTCCCCTACCTCCAACACCTGAAATCATCAGGTGGATGTGGGACAGCGGCCCCTGGCCTCACAGAACTCAATACCTGAATGGAAAACAGCCTTTCTTAGGAACACTAACCATGTGGTGGCCAAGAACACTGATCCAAAGAGGAACCCCAAATCTCGTACTGCTACAGCATATTCAAGTTGGCAGCAAGACTAGCCCACTCTGAAATAGCTCCCTGTTGCACAAAGGGCAATGGATAGCAAGCACGGACAGGGACTGTATCAATGATGGCTACCATCTTGGCCTCACAGACAGCCTGAGCCACACAGTCATCTTGCCATGCCCTCTGAATCACATTTCTGCCCAGAGTTTGTTTTTCTCATGTAGGTGACTGTAAGGGGACTGAACCATTAAGGTTTCTACACATTGGATCAGGGACAACACCTGTAAGAGGCACATATAACTTTTCTTCCTAGTTTCCACATGTCAGCATCTGCCCTAACCACACGACTGGGAGCATTAACCCCCTTCCAAATTCAGTCACCATTCCAGTTGTATGGCTTTGTCAGCTGACAAAGTTAAAGCCAACAGAGGACCTGGGACCAACCGTGCCAAAATCAAAATGCATGTGGTGTCCAGGTAGTGGAGGAGGCTATATTTATCTCCCAAAGCTTCTCCTTCCATAGGGTTGTTTTTTGTTTTTTTTTTTAAATTGTGAAAAACATGCAGAACATAAATTTGAACTTTATAAACATTCAGAAGTGCACAATTCAGGGGCATAGGTACATTATGGTTGTTGTACAACCACTATCAATGTCCATCTCCAAACTCTGTTGCTCTACTGGTTTGTTTCTTATGAATTTTACCACTCTAGAAACCTCACGAAGGCCGAATCACACAATCATTTTTCTTCTGTGATTAGCTCATTTCACTTGACATAATGTCTCTTCACAGGTTTAACATGCCTTTTATCCACAGTTAAATATCTAAAATATTAAAAATTAAAAAAAATAAACGTAAAACAAAGAGCCCACACGCCTCACTATTTTTATTTGAGCCAGGGAAGTAAAATCCTTTCCCTTTTTTTTTTTTCCTTGAACTCTTCTCAAAAACCAATTTTAGCTGACTACTGCTGCCTTAACAGAATACTACGTTAAAAAGGATTGTGAGGCTGTAAATGAGCTCTAGGAACATAATCTATGACTGATTAGCACTGGGCTGCAGTAGGTAGGACTCTCACACTGGAATTTAATATCTTAATTCTATAATTAATTACATACCACTTAAAGTTAGTTACACTCATTTAAAAAAAAGAAACCAATTAATTTTATCTGATAGGTATTTGTTATACTAATAATAACTATGGAGAATTGTTAATATCTGATGTCATATTGCTTTAGTAATTCAGTCGATGCAACCCTCAGTCTTCCTTTTCTACATTCTGGGCTGTCTTACAGGCTTTGGGGTGGGAGACTGCATACAAGGGTCAACAATTAAGGTATATGCTTTTAGGAAGCTGGTTAGCCAATGGAAAGGTCAGACTTTTACATCACGAGCTGTTTCAAATGGCAGATTCTGTTGGAAGTTATGCTCCATGTATATATACTATGTCAAAATACAGTTAATTGCCACGGGTACCTAAAACGAACAAATTTTAAGAATGGTAGATTCTGATACAGAAGTAAGCCATGAGTCACAAGAAAGGCAAACAGGAAATGTAAAATTTGAAGATATGTGGAAGAAGGAGGGCATTTTGTAGAGAGAAAGTTATTTTTGAGCTAAGCAGGAAGGGATATGTAATATCTTGAGAACTAGAATTTGAAGCTTCAGGTCATGAGGAAACAATCACAGATGGCTTAGAAGTAGCCAGTTCCACAGTTTGTTTGTTTGTAACAGAGGGAAATAGCTGGGTAGGGTGGTACATGCCTATAATCCCAGGGGCTCAGGAGGCTGAGATGTGAGGATTGCAAGTTCAAAGTCAGCCTTAGCAATTTAGTGAGGCTCTAAGCAACTTAGTAGGACCCTGTCTCTAAATAATATATTAAAAAGGCCTGGGGATGTGGCTCAGTGGTTGAATGCCCTGGGTTCAATCCCCAGTACCCCCAGTACCAAAAAAAAAAAAAAAAAGGAAATAGAGAAGTTTGGTTTAATATATATGACAAGCAATCACAGGGTACACTAGCATTAACCTTTCTATAGACATTTTTTTTTTTGCAGTACAAACCTAAGTTTGATTCTCTCAATTTTGAAGCTGCAACTTTTCAGACATTCCTAATGACCTCTTTTGTTGAGGATTATCATCAAATGAAGAGGCTGGCTAAGTCCTAGTTGGTGAGGGGAGGGTGGGCAGGTCATCTATATTCAAGGAGATCCTTCTAGAAACCTTTGCTGAACATATGCAAATGGCACATTAAAGTACTTTTGAATGACAGTCATTTTGCAGGGTTGGAGAGAAGCAAACCATCTGGAAATCCTGAGCTCCATCACATTTGCAAACATTTACTAAAATAGAAGCTTGAGGAGGCAGACACAGAAATGACAGAGCACAGGAGGAATGAATGAGAAAACGTACCAGCAAACACCACTTTTCGCCGCACTGTGAGATTGACGTGGCCCTGTTTGGCAGCTTGTTGCATAAGCTGGACCACGAGCTGGTGTGATTTCCCGATTACTGGTGTCCCATCCACACAGATTAATTCATCGCCAGACCTCAGGCGGCCGTCTGTGTCAGCAGCACCCAGTGGTACGATGTGACCAATATAAATCTGTTGGGTAATGGACGATGGGTGAAACGTTGCCCTCCTGATTTACTGTTATACCGACGGCCTCCTCATTTCTAGGAATAATTCAATTCATTCACTTGGGTCCGCATGCATGCCACCAGCATTTACTGAGCACCTACTGTATAAGTCATTGTTCTCGGTGCAACAACCATTTTGAAATTGAGAAAAGAATAACTGTTTCTTGCTTTGTTCCTGGATGTTTATCTGTGGTATGCTGGTGACACTCTTTCTTTTTCCCCTTTAGAGAAATGAATCCCTTTACCCCCCTCATTTATGAACTCTTTTTTCCTTTCCTCTCTACCCAGGAAAACTCCTTTCATAAAATCCTGCTCATTTTAATTCTAACATGACTCTTTTTTAAGGGTTCAGCGCTAGGCCTAGCAATAGGGCGTGCCCGACGAACACGATCCAATGAATGGATGAGTTCAGCAAGTTCTGGCCTGAGATCCCCATTTCTGTGGGTTTTATTTAGCACCTGAAAACAGACCACTCTTTATATTTAATGTCTGCCTGTTATACTTGCCATTCATTAAACTTGAGCTGAAGTATTTGTGTGTACCTTGCCTTCTCTGTAGTAGGTAATACTACAATCACCTTCATGCGACACCTGGAGTTTACAAGGGACTTGGACAAAACAGTGTCTAACAATATGGATTCTGCTCCTGGACCCTTGTCAGTGTCTCTGTGATCTTGGGCAAGTTAATTAACCTTTCTGCATTTTTATCTTCTGATTTGAAAATTGGGGAAAAACTCATGGATCAGATGGATGAAAAGTACGTGAAAAGGCTTTAAAACAGTACTTGGCAAACAGTCGGTGCTTAATGAATAACAGTGGCAGCAGTTATCAAAAAGAAACGAACAACACACATCTCTAGTTCTCTTTACTCCTGTCAAAAGAAAACCCTGTCATGTTATGCTGCATTGATTCTAAACCCAAAGAAGCTCAGGCCCATGTTTCCTGACCCCTGTTTAGGGTTCTGTCATGGCTCTGGTCAAGACAAGGTCCTACTCTCATGTCTGTCACACTGCTTGGTGTCTTCTCTGTGCACCAGCCACATACCCTACAAAGCCCCCTACTTGTGGGCAGAGGAACAGACTTAGCTAAGGGGACCAGGCCCTGGCCTTAGTTGTGGGTGCGCACCCCACTTCTGCTTTTCTTTTGCTACCCTCAGCTGCCATAGTCTACAGACTATGAACTTTAAGGATCTCTTCCCTTCTTCCTCATGTCAAAAAAGAAAAAAAAAAAAGCTCTGCAAAAGCCCAGGAGAATCCCGCACTGCTCAGGATGAGAGTCAGAGCCGGGTGTAGCCGGACTCCTGTCTCCACGGCCTGTCACTGTGATCAATTTGCTGTGAAGTATCAGAACACAGCACTTAAGGAAAGAAGCAGACAAGACTCACAGGTTCCCCCGGCTCATTTCCACCTAGAATCCTAAATCCGAATCCAGTCTCTTTTCTCCAGAGGAAGATGTCCTGTTCCTGGTAGTCGGGAACTGCAGAGAGGGGAGAAGGAAGGCAGATTATTTGGCTGCTCAAAGATGAGCACAATTATAGGACCGAGACTGCCAAGGCTTGAGCAGATGAAAGCATTTCGACACAGGCAGACAGACAGAGGATCTAGACAGGTGAGTAACAGACGACACGGGCACAAGAAACGGACCAGTCACTGGGCCCTAAGTTCTTCAAAGGATATTACTAATGATTCCTAACCAAGTCCACACCGTTAGGGCCACCTAAGAGAGGCATCGGCATTGACTGCTTTTCTCAGTATCGTTGTAAGGGAATTAAGTAAATTAAAAAGCTTTATCAACTAGGGAATGGAAGAAAACAACTTGGGTTTAAAAGTGTTTCTGATCGATTTGTGTTTATTTTTTGCTTTTTATGTACCAGGGGTTGGACCCAGGGGAGGTCTACCACATCCCTATCCCTTTTTGGTTTTTGAAACAGGATCTTGCTAAGTGACCAAGGTCTGCCTTCAAACTTGCGATCCTCCTACCTCAGACTCCTGAGTTGTTGGGATTACAGACGTACATTACCATGCCCGATTCTAATTTGTGTTTTGTTTTTTTTAATTGTAGATGGACACCATACCTTATTTTATTTATTTTTTTTAATGTAGTGCTGAGGTCGAACCCAGGGCCTCCTACGTGCAAGGCAAATGCTCTACCACTGAGCTACAACCCCAGCCCCTAATTTTTGTTTAAGTCACTTTTTTCTTCCTAAAGATAATCAAGATGAGTAAAACTAATAATTTGATTTGTTAGGTCATTTTCACCAAAATATTTACTCTCAAGGATTGGGGGTAGCTCAGTGGTAGAGTGCTTTCCTATTTGCCAGGCCCTGGTTTAGCTCCCCAGCTCTGAAAAAACAAAAACAAAAAACCAAATGCAAAGTTTACAGGATTTTAATATCATCACTGAAAAAGATAGTCAACCTTTCATGATAACAAAAAAGTTCCATGCCAGGCATGATGGCACATGCCTGTAATCCCAGAGGCCTGGGAGGCTAAGGCAGGAGGATCATGAGTTCAAAGCCAGCCTCAGCAGCAAGGACCTAAGCAACTCAGTGAGACCTTGTCACTAGGTAAAGTATAGGAAAAAAGGGCTGGGGGTGTGGCTCAGTGGTTAAGGACCCCTGGGTTCAATTCCCCAGTACAAAAGCAATCCAGATTAACCAACCACACAACTCATTGTTAAAATGACTACTTTATTCCAGAATCTGCCTATATTTCAACATTGAAATACTCATTTATTACCCAATAACTTGATATCTTATGTTTAGCACTCAGTAATGCTTAAGGGCTTTAAAATAAAAATGTCATTTTTTAAAACAAATTTCCAGAAAAATAGATGACTACTATACATGAAATAATTCTATATACCACTCTGTTCCTTCAATAAGGTAATTTTTTTTATTAATAGCCTTTTTTGGGCTATTTTCACTTAATTTTTAAATATACATGAATGTATACATAGGGTGTTTTTGGCCTATAAAGTGACATCACTTTTATTTAAAGAGAACATATATAATTTAGTTGCTGTGATCCTTATGGAGATTTCAAAACACTGTTCTGCATACTTTCTGGTTTGTTTAATTAATGGGATTTAGGGCTTAAGAGGTGAGTAGTGAAAATTTTATTCTTTCCCCAAGTTTGTACAGTAGGATATAGAAATGAAGAACATGGCTATGCAGTTTTCTGGTCAGCGAGAGTGTCCCTTTACAGGTGTAGAGTGACTAAATACACCAGGAGGCAGGGAACTGTCAGGCAGGTACAAGCCAGAGGATTCTGAGTCTCTTATTTTCCCTGAGCTAGCCGCATGCTCTGGCTTTACACAGGTGCTTTTTATCCAATCCTCTTTTATTGTAATTGCTGTAGCTAAGCTGCCACGGAACACAAGCTCTGCGACATCATAAGACGCCCGTAAAAGCAATTGGAGAGTAATATTGAGCACACTAAGGTAACTGTATATACGTATGTATATATCTGTGCAAGTCGATGGGTAAAGGGTATTTGCTGTAATAGCCTCATTGAAACAACAAATTAAATCAAGCAGCATCTGGTCTTTGGTTCACTCAAGTAGGAGGGTTATTATCCTAATAGAGCACTGCTATTTGTCAGCCTCAGGGCCTATCTGAAGTCCGCCAGGGGCTAGGAGGCCTTTCTGGGAACAGAGAAAGGGCCTCTGCAGAGACCCCCAGCCCAGACGCATTTTTCTTAGTATCACTTAACACTGGAACATTTGCCCACCCCACAGGGACACCAAATGGAGCCCCCTCTTGCCTGATGTTGCACACTTAGGTGTCAGCCATCAAGGTAGGGCGGGGGTGGCTGCAGATTCAGGCTTACCACACAGCTCAGTCCCCAGAGAGAGAGCATTTGCTTCCTTTGGAGAATCAATGGGAACATGGCAAATCTACTCTGAGAGTTCTCCGTTGAAAAGAAAGCCGCCCAGTGACACTCGGGATGTTAAAGACACCACCAATGAGTCAGGAAACACAGACACAAACACAGACCCCAGCACAAAGCAAGTCTTTTGGTACTTCAGCTTTAGCATCTTAACAAATGGACTTTTCCACCAATGAAGTGTCATTTGCCCAAATATATACCTTTGGTGATGAATCAGTGCTGAAACTTATTATGGGATTCCTAAATCTCTCTCCTCTGATGTCACTTCATAGAGGTACTGAGCTTTCTCAAATGCTCACCTCAAAAGGTTTAATTCTCTATTTTAGGCAGATTCTATTAAAATTAAGTGGGTTTTTTTGGTTCCTGGAATTGAACTCAGGGGCACTCGACCACTGAGCCATAGCCCTAGCCCTGTTTTGTATTTTATTTAGAGACAGGGTCTCACTGAATTGATCAGGGCCTTGCTAAGCTGCTGAGGTGGCCTCAAACTTACGATCCTCCTGCCTCAGCCTCCAGAGCCACTGGGATTATAGGCATGAGCCACTGTACCCAGCTAGAATTAAGTTTGTAATAAACCAGTGGGATAAGAGCCATTTTTATATTAATATGACTTTATTTTTATTTTAGTGAGGCTAATCACATAGAACTAAGAAAACCTTATCCAGTTGTCTTCATTTTTAAGTCTTGTCTGGGAAACCATCTTAGCAGTTACTCTCCTTTGGGCAATGCCAGTAACAACTCAATAAAGCACTCAAAAGACTTCCTTTGATACCTGGAGACAATGAAGGAACCAGGTTCAAAGAGACCTTCCTGATGTCCCCATGGACAGAAACACAATGTCGAAGACGTGTACCATGCCTTATCTCATCTTGTCAATAGTTGACACTAGGCTAAGGGGACAGGCCACTGGCTTCCCTTCAGGGCACATTATCCCCCCCTCCCTCTTCTGACTTTCCCCCCAGGTCCCCTGACGGATGGGAACACGGAACAGGATGAATGATAATGGAGAAATACAAGTCCACAGCAGGGTCCTTACTCTGACATTCTCCAAAATTCGTGGAACTGATTTCTCTCTCTCTTTCCCCCTTGCTCAATCCCGATGCAGGCGAAGGTGACATAGCTGGAATATTAATTTCACAGTTTTGCAAAGCTTCATGTACATTCTCTGTTAGTTCATTTCAGCTCAGTTGTGATTTGTGAGGGATCGTGCCCCTCGGTACAGTGGGTCATGGCTGCTATGGATTTTAAGGACTATGATTTGATGGTTTTTCTTTTTCATATTTTGGCTTCTTTTTTTCATGATGCTTTACTTGTCAAAGAGCTAGAATTTCTAATTGTACCACGGAGAGTTCCTATGACTCCCTTTACCACCTTAGGCTCTTCACATTTAATTAGACTCTAAAATACATTCTCCGATGAACTTGTTTCAATCATGTCTCAATCTACAGAAGGTTCATCTAAACCCTCATTGCCTTTTGAGAAAAAAAAAATCGGTATATCTGTGACACTGCGACACTCATATTTATTTAGGAGTGTATGAAGTTCCTGATGGAACTCCTCCCTGTACTAAGGCCAGTCCAGGTCAATTTTAGGCAATTCAAACCAGAATAGTCTCATGCTCACAGACACACAATTGTCAAATCTGCCCCAAGCTCTGAACAAACACATAAAATAGGAATCATTATGACAGTGCTTAAAATCTAGAAGTACTCATGAGCTCCTTAGACTTAGACTTAGCTCCATGATGAAGGAGCTCAGTCACCAATTCCAAACTTCTAAGCAAGTCACTCCAAAGCAGGACAGGTTGACAATGTTGGTTGATAGGAGCACTTTCAGCTTTTTTTTTTCTTTCTTTCTTTCTTTCCAAACTATACTGCAATTAGACAAAATTGCAATGGCAAGCTTTAAAAATTCTTTGGAAATAAATGCTACTGGATGCTAGCCAATTTTCCTGAACATTTACTAATAAGATTGTGTCAATGTCGTTTTTAAAGACATGTGCACAATTGGTATGTTATCCGGAGAAAATACAACAGGGCTTTTAAAGGGCTTTAATGCTTGTCTTTGTTTTTAATCAAACATTGAAACCCTTCAAAAGGATTCATTAACATCTGTAATTCAGACGGATTCATTTTGACAATGCTGTTTTGGCATTGAAGAATATGGTATTTTATAAAACAGTTAGACCTATGAAGGAAGGTGATCAAAATGTGTTCAGCCGGGCGCAGTGGTGCCATCCACAGCTCGGGAGGCTGAGGCAGGAGGATCACGAGTCCAAAGTCAACCTCAGAAACTTAGTGAGGCCCCAAGCAACTCAATGAGACCCTGTCTCTAAATAAAATATTAAAAAGGGCTGGGGATGTGGTTCAGTGATTAAGAACCCCTGGGTTCCATCCCCAGTGTCAAAAAAATTTAAAAAAAATAAAAGCAAAATGTGTTCATCTGTTCATCTTCACATTGCCCTTAACAATAAAATTAGATATAAGGGGAAGATATTCTCGACCAAAAGGGGATCATCTGGTACAATTAAGGAACTGCTGTAGACTTCTGATGTTTTTTCCTGGAGTGCTCTGCTCATTTCACTGTGCAGGGAGGGGCGGGGAATCAAGCTACCCAGGGCATGCCCTAGATTTTTGTTATGGTTCTTAAAAGACAAGATACAAAATAACCTAGGGCAATGGCAGAAACTGATCTGGGATTAAAAAAAAAAAAAAAGTCCTGATTCCAAGACAAGACTGACTCAAGTTCATTCATTCACACTGTGAAAGGGAAAAAAAAGAAAAAAAAAAGAAACTGTGACAGCTACAGAACAATTACCACGGGTGGGGGAAGTGTCATCATTTTTCTCACTTAGCAAGGAGGAGAAAATCCATGGGAATCTTCACATCAATTAGGCTGCTGCTATCACTCCATTAGGGAGCCTGCAATCACCACAACGAAATGGATTCTCATTTGGGCTGTTCTATCTGATTCCTTCGATGTTAAAGAAAGTGAAGGCGCAGAACTGAAACCATCCCAAATATTTCATTCCAGCTGCCATTTGGGCCATTTCAATGCTGACAGCAGCTGGTTATGGTCACATTAGATATTATTTTATTCTGGTGGAAACTTTCATAAAAATTGGATGAAAGACCCAAATCCTAAGAAATGCTGTTCCCATCTGGGTGAAAATGAGTTGGAGCCTCCTATCGAACAGGTGCAGGAGAATGGTCTTGCCAATCCAGGAGGGCGCTGCCAGCCCTTCAAAGCGTGATCTATTTTATCACAGTGAGATTCATACATGGAAAACTCAATCATAAATGTGTACTATACTGAGAAAAGCAGGAGTGTGGTCAATAAAGCAATAATATACCAACATCCCCTGAAGCTGGGCATTGATTGGAGGAGTCTCATGGTTAGAGAGGAATGTGTAGGGAATATGAAAATACGACCCCTTTGGAAAACATTCTTCAGTAGTTTTTTTTTTTCTTATTTAAGTGAAATCATTATAATGAGGGAGGAGACGTTGTGAGGATGGACCCCAGGCTCTTACTAATTGAGCATCCCTAATCTAAAAATCTAACATGCTCCAGAATTGGAAACTTTTTAAATGCCGACACAGCACCACAAGTAGGAAGTCCGACACCACCAAACTTAGTTTCATGTACAAAATTATTAAAAATGTATAATATTACTTTCAGGGTATGTGTATAAGGTCCATATGGAATGCAAATGAATTTTATGTTTAGACTGGGATTCTAGCCCCAGGATATCTCATTATGGAAATGCAAATATTGCAAAAGGTGAAAAATTCCAAAATCTGAAATACTTCTGGTTGCCAGTTTTGTGTCAGTGTTATGGTTTGGGTGTGAGGTGTCCCCCAAAGCTCACATGTGAGACAGTGCAAGAAGGTTCAGAGGAGACATGACTGGGTTGTGACAGCCTTAACCCAACCAGTGAATGGACCCCTGATGGGATTAACTGGGTGGTAGCTGGAGGCAGGTGGGTGTGGCTGGAGGAGGGGGCATTGGGGGCGTGGCTTTGGGGGTCTCTATTTGTCTCTGGAGAGTGGAGTCTCTCTCTGCTTCCTGATCACCATGTGAGCTGCTTCCCTCCACCACTCTCTTCCTCCATGATGTCCTGCTCCCCTGGAGCCCTGAGAAATGGAGCCTGCTGTCCATGGACTGAGACCTCTGACCTGACACCATGAGCTCCCAAATAAACGCTTCCTTCTCTATAATTGTGCTAGTCGGTTCCTTTAGTCCCAGAAGTGAAAAACTAAGACAGCCAGGGATGCTCAGCCTGTGCTTGCACCTCCAGTGTGTGAGGGAGGGATATTCCAAATGGAACCTCATTCCCTCAGCCTGGTCTCTGGGGGACCTCAGTGGTGTCTTTCTGGTCCGTGGACTAAATAAATGCCTTTGCAAATTAGCTGGCTTCTCCCGGTATAGGGAGCCATCAGCCAAAGCAGCCTACGTAATGGCAGGCACTGTTGTGCTCAATGGCTAGGGCATCCCTCCCTTGAGGAGGAAAAGGATGAAGGGCCCCTGAGCAAGTCTCCAGCCTCTCCTAGGCCCCCTACTGCTGCGTTCCACCCAGGGCTGTCACCAATTTTCCTTCCCGGGCAGGGCTGCTGGCCTTCCTCCTGTTGGGGCCACAGAGCAGCTGTGGTCTCCCAGCTGATGCCCTCCCACAAGCAAAGGAGCCAAGGCCGACCCCTCACCAACCTCTGCGCCATGACCTCCATGGGGACCCTGGTTGAGAGGTGACCATAGCTGTGGCTAGAACTATAGCCATGGTAGGGGTGACAGGGACAAAGGGAACAGCTAAGTGATGCTCTTCTCTCTTCCAGTCTCTCATGCCCTTCCACCCTACGTTCCCTCTCCTGACAGTCTTTTCCACTCCATGCGAAAGAGGGAAAAGGAGAGGCAGAGAGGTCACGGGTGGGCCGCCCCTGATCAGGAGAGAATGTCAGAAGTTGCCACACCCCCCAAAAAGGCTCAACGAGCACCATCTAAAATTCAAACTTTGTAAGAACTTTCACTGTTGAGATAAATGAGTATCATTCATGGTGAATTCTTTTTGGAAATCATTTCATAATAAAGAGGAAAAGTTAAACAGAAAGGATTTAACAGGCTTATCAAAGCCAAGAAGTCACAGAGTACACCGTCACTAACTTATTCTTATAGGAAAGGTAAAACCAAAGAAAACACTTACTCACTATATAAATAATTAAAGCCTGATTCACCCCCCACACTTTTTTTTGGAGAGCATGTTTAGAAAAATTGAGAATCATTAAAAAAAAATTACCAGTATTTTTCAAAACCAAGCGACCACAAAGTAAGCATTTAATTTCTCCTCGTTACCTCGTTACCTCATATTTTCCTCTTACCACCCACACATATTTAGGTTCTATTATCTATCAGACTGTCTTGCAAGACTCCAGCTCAGGTAATAATGTAGGAGACAGCCATTCTTATCTGCCCCTTCTTTCAACTACAGAGAAAAATAAGCGGGTTTTTCTCCAGGCTGGGGATTAGATGAGCATCCCTTTCTACCCTGTTTCCCAACCTGGAGACATAACGGAGCCTCCAAATGGAGATCCAGCAGATGGTGCTTTCTGAGGAGCCTGGTCCTCATCCTGATATACCCTGGTCCAGTTTACACTCGGAGCCTTGCTGTGTTGGAGGAGCCCAGCCCAGGGGAGGGGAGTGGGGCAGGCAGCCCGGGGGCACTACTCACGTCGGTTTTCATACATGCTCCTGGACTGGGCCCAGATTTTAAAAGGATCTGGTTTCTTCTGCCCAGAGCTGTCGGTCTGATCTGGAGCGGGAGCCTCGGTGGGTGGGTACTCTGGGAGCACCTGCGTGTTGTGACTCGGGGACGCCGTGTGCAGGCTCCGGTGGCTGGAAGCGCTGTGTTGAGAACTACTCTGGCTGTCTTTCCTTTCCAGTGGTTGCTGAAAGTAAGCAAGAGATCATTGCCGGTTCTCCCAGTGGGCGTTTTCCCACCAGCTCGGCTCTGGTGGGGCACTTTTGCAAACACCGTGCATAAATACATCAACAACCTTTGGGCGTCCTCCTTCTCCAGTGAATGCACAATGCAGATAAATCCCCAAATGATTGGCAGACAGATAGAGGGGCAGGCCAGACAGAAAGACATAATCACAAAGCACCCTGTTCTCTGGGCTGTAGCGGAAAACAAATCTAATTCTCATCATAGGTTCTGAGCTGAGACACTGGGTTGGTTTACTGCATGATGGATCGGCTTTAACCTCCTCATTTCTCGACAAAAACATGTGACACAAAATACCAGGAGTGGTTTAGCCATAGGGTATAACATCTAGAAGAAATACAATCAGGGCTAAAAGGCCCCTTGGGGTACCATATGTTGCATCTTTTGATAATAAAACACACAAGTCCTCTCTAAAGGTTTGCCATCAGTTCTTCTAGAACAGGGAGAAGATGAGGGAGGTAGCTCAGTTGTCCAGCATGGGTGAGGCCTGGACTTCAATGCCCAATACTGCAGAAGCAAACATGATGATAATGCACCAATTAAAAAAAAAGTGGAAAGAAAAACCAACCAACAAAAATTCTTAGCTAATCAATTTTTCAGATGTGGTTTAAAAGTCAAGACCAGTGGTGCACACCTATAATCCCAGCTGCTCGAGAGGCTGAGACAGGAGGATCGAGAGTTCAAAGCCAGCCTCAGCTACTTAGTGAGGCCCTAAGCAATTCAGTGAGACCCTGTCTCTAAATAAAATACAAAAAAAGGGCTGGGGATGTGGCTCAGTGGGTAAGAGCCCCTGGGTTCAATCTCTGGTACCAAAAAAAAAAAAAAAAAAAAAAAAAGTCAAGACTGAACTTTATATATGGTTGATTCCTGGGGGGTCAGCCTCCTTAAACTTGCAACTTATCCACAGTCTAAGTAGCATTCGCAGGGGAGTTCCAATTAAATTTTAAGAGAACAAGCAAGTTCCTGTTCATTAAAACCAGCTAAGCAGAGGCCCTTCCCATTTCATGAAACGCTCTTTGAATGGCAAGGGAACAGAGAACAAAACCTACCGAGAAGAAAAATGATGGGTGGAAAATAAAATAATTTAGCTCCTATTTTCTTTAATAAAAGACTGTGGTGATTCCAGGTATTCCGTTTCCCCTATTCAAAATAAAACTCATAGAATCCTGCCTCCTGTGTAAGAGATGTCACATCACCATAGTTACGTGCTTGAGCGTCATGGTAAAGGGGGAGAGGAAGGGCATCTCCATCCTCTCCAACGGATCCTGGTGAGCTTGTGTTTTTTAAAGTAGTTTATAAGATCTTCAACCTCAAGCATCTCAGTTCCCTCAACTCTTCCATCAGGTGTTATCATCAGAGACATCCGAGGACCGTATCCTACACTTGGGGAAACTGTAAGTGAGGCTTAATTCCATCCGATCCAAGGGGATGCGAAACTGGCGAAGACACCAGGAAAATGCATTGGCCTTTAGGTGGAGACAAACATCACCGCCAACACCACAACACCCTGTTCTCACTGATGATGAAGAGCTCAGCCCAGAGGTGGATAGATTAGCACTCCAAGCCCTGGAACAGAACTTGGACCCCGTCCACCTCAACCACTGTGCATTGACTATCAGGCCAGGTGTCGGATCTCTGTCCCAAGAGGTGACCCCTGTCCTCTAGCTCCCCAGAGCAACAGTGAAGATATCAGGATGAGAAAATGACCAAGACAGATAAGACACCCCTTCTCTTTTGCATGCCAGTGGGGATATGTTTTTCTTTTCATGTGTCCCCTAGAAAGGTATCAATATTATAAACAACCATGCACAAGATCAGCACACTGTTGGTGTGCACCCACACACCACAATATGTAGAAAAAACGTGGAATTATGGTTGGGTGCGGTGGCGCATGCCTGTAATCCTAGTAGCTTGGGAGGCTGAGGTGGGAGGATCTCAAGGCAATGTCCACCAACCATCATTTCCTTTTTGGGTGGGTACTGGGAATTGAACTCAGGAGCACTCAATCACTAAGCCACATCCTCAGTCCTTTTTTTATATTTTATTTAGAGACAGGATCTCACTGAGTTTTTTAGTGCCTTATGTTTGCTGAGGCTGGCTTTGAACTTGAGATCCTCCTGCCCCAGCCTCCAGAGCTGATTAGATTACAGGTGTGTGCCATTGTGCCCAGCCTGCTATCTGTTTTGTAAGGTTACTCTGGGTCCCTGCACTACAGCCTTCTTGGACCATTGGCCCCTTGAAACCTAACTTTAACCTCTTCCACCGTATCTTTCCCCTGAACTGGAGAAAAAGACCTTTCTGGCAACCCTACCCCACTGAGAGAGTGTGAGGAAAGTGCTGGAACTTCCTGCTGCAGAGAATGCCCCTGTGCTTTTACCCGCTTACCACACACATGTGCTTATACACCAGCATGCCACACGAGGGCTTCCAGGACCCTAAAATGTCCATACAATAAATCTCTAGCCTGGAAGATTGATTGATTGATTGGTTTAAGGACTGGGGATTGAACCCGGGGTGCTTAACCAACTAGTGACATTCTCAGCCCCTTTTTATATTTTATTTAGAGACAGGGACTTGCTAAGTTGCTCAGGGCCTTGCTGAGGCTGGCTTTGAACTCGCCAAGCCTCCTGCCTCAGCCTCCCAAGCTACTGGGATGACAGGTATGTGCCACTATGCCTAGATGACCTGGAAGATTTGAATCTCTTTAACTAGAGAGGTGACTTCACCATAAAGAGAATGTACATTTGGAATCCACTGGCAAGGCCTGGATCATTTTTCAAATTATAATAGCCTTTCTCACCTCCAAAATAAGTGACTCATTTAGCTTCACTTTAATACACAATGACAGATACAATTTGGAATAAGGTTGCAAAACTGCTTCTCAGTTGAATTATACCTTGGAGTCCCTTTTAAATGCCATCTAAATCTTGTCCCTCTATTTGGCAGAGAAGTACAGGTGCATCGTGAGAATGTGCTCTCCAAACTGTGCCACCACTAAACTGCCATTGACTGGCATACACAAGTGGCATATTAGTGGGCTAAATACAGAGTATTCTGGAAGAGTTTTACATTTCTTCTTTGGTAAGACTTAACTTTATGATCCATCTCAAAATCATTTAAATGATTTGAAAATGCATTTGAAAATAGATTTGAAAATGCATTCAGTATCGAAACTCTTGTTGGCACTCTGGGATATATATATACTTAACTATTCTGTGTGTTTGTAAAATTTTCAAATATGATTTTTATTTTCTGTGAGCATGCTAATTATTTATGATGCTGTCTTTTATCTGGTTACGCCCTGGATTGTTCAAAAGAAAAGCTATATATATATATATATATATATATATATCTCCCAAAATTAAAGTTAACTTGTATGTCTTTTCTAGATTACCTCCCTAAGGACTTGGGACTTGAAAGTAAATTCAGTTTCGAACTAGTGACAGCCTGGGATCAGGTTTGCATTACTGTGATTGTCATTTGCCTCATTCTCTTAGGTGAGACACCAGCTTTTATTTTATTTTTGGTACAGGGGATTGAACCAAGGAGTGCTCAACCCCTGAGCCCCATCCCCAGCCCTTTTTTATATTTTATTTAGAGACAGGATCTCCCTGAGTTGCTTACGGCATCACTTTTGCTGAGGCTGGCTTTGAACTCATGATCCTCCTGCCTCAGCCTTCCGAGCCACTTGGATCACAGGCTCGCACCCCACCCCAATTCCTTTCAAGCTTCTTAAAGGGACCCTGTGTATATTAAAAACATGCTGGACAGAAGCATCTGGTACACCGATGGCAGAATATTATCCGAGGCCCTCCTCTGACTAACCTGCAACAAACTCACTGTACCAACAAGTATGTGTTGATGATTGTGCCTGTGTTGGAGCCCGGGGGGCACAGTGGGTAAATAAGGGTACCTGACCTCCTGGAATGTATACCTGAACATGTAGCTGATGCCCGTGCCTGTATGTGTACGGGTGGACATTAGCCGAATGGCCCTCCTGTATTGAAAACTGCACACTGCAATGTCCTTCAGATACAAGGTACCAGGAACCTGTGGAGGAATGTTCAACTAGCAGACACAGCAGCTTCTAAGTCCCCAGGGTAGAAAGGCCGGCCCTGCCCGGCAGGGGACTGGGGTGGTCTAAGATGAACTCGGAGGCCAACTAATGCAGGTGCCTCCAGACAATGGCGGGGAGTCTGCCCTTGGCTTTTGGCTTGGGAGATGGGGACCCACTCATGATCTAAAGTGGCCAACATACTTCCACAATGTTGGTCCAGCTCCTGGGCAGGGAGCTGACCTGGGAAAGCAGTGGAACAGGCAGGCCAATGAGGAGGCTGTCCCTGCAGTCCCCTGGGGGACAGAAGAAGGGGGTGTATTACAAACAGAGTTCCTGCCCTCCACGTCTCCAGCTTCAGCAAATGCTTGGAATTTGAGAGACAGCAATACCAAGTACTGCCACTATTTTTTTGTTGTTGTTATGGGGATTGAACCCAGGGATGCTTGACCACTGAGCTACATCCTCAGCCCTTTTGAGGGTCTTGCTAAGTTGCTGAGGCTGGCCTCAAATCTGGGATCCTCCTGCCTCAGCCTCCCATGTGGCTGGGGACGGAAAAATTGCAGGCATGCGTCACTGCACCCAGCCATGCTAATATTTTTGAAGCAAGAATTTGATTTGAGTCTCAAATCACAGCAAATTAGGAAGAAGGAAAGGGGCTCGATTTTAAAACCTCCATAAAAGTCCTTAGCCACACAGTGGCCCTGATCTTGTATCATAAGACCTACTAAGACAGAACCGTACCATCCTCCCGGAAGTGAACGACCCTCACACTGCTTCCTGTCGGGCCAGGACAATCGGGAAAATGCAACGGTTTGTAGAAATGGAAATGGGAGGGGGAAATCAACTGATCGGTTATTTCGCAGAACGATTTCGAAATGGAGGTACTT